ACATCGCATTAGATCTCAGTAATTGAGGCATATAATTTTTGCCGGTTCATCAAGAGGGCTATTTGATAAGGTGTTGGTTAAAACCAAGTTTGCTGTAGTTGTAGGATGTTCTGTGGCTTGGTAAGGAAGTTAGTGGTGCTGTTCCATACATATGCCCATCTTGTGCATCTAGGTGGTGGAGGTTCTGGATCTGGAAGAAGCATTGCTGAGTTGCTGCAGTGTGTTTTGTATACAGTACGTGCTGCTGCCACTGTACATTACTAATGGAAGCAGTGGATGTTTAAGTTGCTCGATAGGGTGCCAGTGTAGTAAACTGCTTTGTCCTGAATAGAATTATGCTTCTTGAGAGCTGCTGGATTTAGCTAGGCAGTGGATACTCCACCACCCTCCTGACTTTTGCCTTGTAGATAGTGAACAGGCTTCTGGGGAGTCAGGAGGTAATTTACCTGACCTGGAATTCCCAGCCACTTATCTGCTTTTGGAGACAGATCGTTATATGACTAGTCTAGTTCAGTTTCTAGTCAATGGTAATCCCGAGGATGTTGCTAGTTGTATATATACTGAGATTTTAAACCAACAACCATGTTATGTCACACCAGCATATGAAAGCACAAAGTACACTTTTTTGTGAAATTCGCTCAAGTAAATATAAGTCCTCATTTTATAAAAAAATCCATGCTATGCCTGTTACCTGACTAAATTCACTAACAGACTAGCAATTCCTGAATTCCATCGTGACTAATATTTTAATAAGATAAGAAAGCCAAAAGTCTAGCTTTTCACTCCTTTCTCAGCTGTGTGTGTCAGACAGTTGGCTTATCAAGTTAATAATGAAGGCTGCCAACCTGGATCAGAAGCCTTCCCCTTCTCCCTGGTATGAGCGGACTTTGAAGACTTGTGGAATTTCAAGGGTACAACTATTAATACCCATTTTGCATCCCAATGTGTATGAAAGTAATTGAATGTGTACTGTGTACCTGGATACTACTGAAATCTTGCCTGGTTTGGTCAGGCAGGTGGGGGAGGGGGTGGTGGGGCGGGCGTGTTAATGATGTCCTACATAGGTGTAATGATCGTCTTAATTTTAACTCCGTTATTAAAGTCGCTTGGCCAGATGATTCACCTCCAGCTGTCAGTAGCCTGAGTGGCCTTTGTTTTTTTAGTGTTCTATCCAGATTAGTCTTATATTTCTCTGTCCATAGTCTTTGCAAAAAGAACATGTGAACTTGCTGGGATAGACAGCTGGTGCTTTATTCAGTCCTATTCCACTAGATATTCTCAACATGTTCATTTCTGTGTTGCACCTAAGACAAGGCTTTTAGTCAGCCTGATAATCATAACAATCTGTGCATTATTTGAATCCATTTAAAAATTTTCAAAGATACTTTCCAAATTTGACTGTTTAAAACTCTGGCGACAGGTTTTTGAGACTATCCGAGAAGAATTGGATACATGTTTCAACTTGCCTTTCATCTAATATGCTTTGTTAAAGCGAAGTCATTTTTCAAAGGAAAGACATCCTTCAAAGTAATCCTAAGAAAGTTGAAATGATTTATTCAGTCACCTAGGATAGGAACCTTAACACCTACTCAATAGATTAGCAAGTTCATGCACTTATTACTGTGTCGACTATTAATATTCTTAATCACCTACAGGTCAAGAAATAGATGGTAGTAATGTCATCGAGTAATAACTTTATGAAGAAGTAGTTCAAGGTTATTTTCCAGCATGCTTTTGTTGCAGTCTAAATGCACAACTGGAGAATTTTGTCACACAACTCCTTACACTTCAGTAATAAATATAATTCAGTGTTCTTGATCCCTTAATTCTAGACCTATATGAAACCATGTTCAATACAACTTCCCCCATTCTGTGTAGACATTGTGACCTGTTTAGTTGTTGCAATCTGCCTTGAACACGCCTATATTGTCGATATGGTCTTCCTTGGCTGGTCTCATGCTACACTGGCCTTTTCTAGACCTCTCAGCCATGCAGACATCTCAACTCAAGAATGTACCTGGCACATTTTCCACTGCAGGGTTCCTCCCTGCCACTTCTCTATATTTATCATTCTTCTCTTGGCCTTCTACCACCTCCATTATGAATTTAGAAATGTATGTAAACTCATTGCAGACCTCTCGGCGTTCTTTCTGACTCCCTCTCTATCTCTAACATCCCAACTACACCCTCTTTTTTGCACAATGTATATATCTTTTCAGCATTACGACTCTCTTCTCTGCATTCTGTTCTACTGTTCCCTTTGTTTTAATTTCTGGCCCTGGTTTTTCCATGTTCTGCAGTTCTTGCTGTATTTGCCTTCTTTGTTTTCCACTCCACAGATGGAGAGTTGCTCAGTCCTGTGCTTTTATTCTGCTCCTGTTTCCCACAACCTCAACAATGGACCAAACAATTCTGCTTTCTTCTTTCCCTGCCCCTCTAATGAAACATTGATATCTATGACCTCACTGTTCCTCCATTTTACCTTTCAGAAACATGCTGGAACCTTTACAGTCAATCTTGCTTGATTGTGTTTTATGTTGTGCTGTGAGAAGTCAGCAGCTAGTATTGAATAATCTGCCTTAGCCTGACTCATGACATGTGCCGTATGCTATTTTTGCTTAAATTCTTTGCAGGGTCTCCACTATTTCTGTTTCCTTTTCTTTCCACTTAATTCTCCCTATTCTTATTCTTTTAATGCTTCTTGTTTGCACAACCTCAGACTTGTACAGAAAGAAAGGATGGAATTGGACAATGAGAATCTAAAAGATCAACAAAAATACTGAAATCTCAGTGAATTTGACTCTTACAGCAACTGCAAATCAATGGTCTATTTGCTTCTGCCAGTCACTCTTCTGTCCCTTATGTTGCTTATAGTAAATACCTCTGGGCTTCAGAACACCATCATGTCTTGCATTATTTCTCCCTGTCAGTCTTAAATGTATCTGCTCTCAATTCTTACAATTACCTTATCAACTGTGGAGTTACAACTTCTGTCAAATTGACAATCAAAATATGTAACTGGAAACTATAGGTATCCTATTCTCTCTTGTGAATTAAAACTAATTCCTTTCCAACAATGAGCAGAAACCAGTTTTTTTTTTACCAAGAAAATCCCCTCTTTCTATCTCCTCACTTAGCACAGTTGGTTCTGCTATAACATACGATAGTTTTGTTCCTGCGCAACACTGCGTTATAGAAAATCACCCTATAGAAATAACAGGGCCTATAGGAAAAGCAGGGTTAGGGGCAGACCACCAAAATCCCTCAAAATCACTCAAAAACCACTCAAAATCCTAAGGATAGCACAGTTTAAATAAATGTTTAATTCATGTCTAATAATGAAATAAAAGTAAATTTAACATCTTACCTTGGAAAAAATGTCAAGGTGACTTGATGGGGAAAGAGGTTTTGTGGTTGCTGTGTTGTTAACGCAGAGGCTGAGGGTCGTCATCATTATCACTTCGGGTGTAGTTGTGTTGCAGGGTTAGTACGAAAAATAGTTAATCCAGAAGTGGATGGCTGTGGCTCATGACTTCTAACTGTTTCTTGGGGTTTGGCTTAAAAAAGACATTCAGTTTTTGCTTCTTTCATGTAGAAGCTGTTCATAGAGTGCCAAATAAGATCTTATTCCACAAAGTGCTACCCTGCTCCGTTCTGCATTGTAATTATTGTCCTCTAAGAGCTGCAACTGCTTCTCAATTTCCCACAGGATAGAAGACAAAACAGAAATGGAAAGTTTTCATGGTGCTACATCCTGGATTTCATCTTCATGTCCAGCTTCCACTTCCCCCTCAGTGACAAATTGTGGTTAATCAGCTGTAGAGAGGTCTTTATAGTGGGTCTCAAGCAGCTCTTCAACGTCCTCATTCTCCTTTTTCAAATCTAACTTGCTTTGCAAGATCAACACAATGTTCTTTGATTCTTGGGAGCTCCTCTGACAGATCAAAGTCTGTAAAATCTTGAAAAAATTCTAGGGAAAGCTTCTGCCAAACTGTATGCAAGCAGTCCTTACTGACATCACCCCAGGCCTTCACAATAATGTCAATTGCATTCTTGATGTTAAAGCTCTTCCAAAATTGAAGAATACTGGCCTTATCCCCCTCCGTGGCTGCATTCGGCCTTTTAAACGTGTTTAAATTGAAGGAGAGAGGTAGTGTTTGGGGGTAGAAATAGCACTTTGATGTTTTCAGAAAGCTCACCAATGGTGGGAAGATGGCTTGGTGCATTATCCAGGATGAAGAGAATCTTGAAATCCAAATATTTTTCCTGCAATACTTTCTAAAAATAAAGCCTGTGAAATGATCGTGTGATGCTGGCAGGGGGACTCTTTCGGGGCTAACATTGAACATGCTCAGGACCATGCATGCGAAACGTTCATGTGATGTCGACGCATACTCCATGCGCCGATGGAATCGCATTATAGCCAACACAAGTTCGCTTTATAGAAATAGCATTCCCCTAACCAATTTGTGTTTACGGAACACGCATTATAGCAGAAGCGACTGCATTGTGAAAATACTACTACATAACCATTGGGAGACGTTGGAGAGGAGATAAGCACATTTGAGTGATGGGCATAGTTAATTGGTGAGCAACATGGAGGCAAATTAGACAGGAGAGGAATTTCCTAAATATGTAATTCTTCTTTAAATATGTGATGCAGCATTTTTTTAAAATATAAATTCCAAGTAAACTGTCTGCAGCAGTGAAAATACTGTGTATAATGTCAAGTTATGAGGGATTCATTACATATTGATTAAGTCAGGATCTCACCTTTTGAGATCCAAAAGAATGAGTCATTTGTCTGAAGTATACAATTATTTTGTGTAGAGATAAATGATATATTTTACTGTGTGCTTCTTTTTTGTTACCCATGGAACAGTCAATAGCTTGTGTTATGCAATCCATCCAAAGTTGTCAGCTACTTAATATTTTTAACCAGCACTGTGTTCAAATCATTGGTGTCATTTTTTAATATCAACTTTGTCTGGTTTCTACAGATATGCAACAGCAGTACAAGATGGCTCACAGTACTTTGTTCTGCTCATTATAACAGATGGAGTTATCTCAGACATGGCACAGACTAAAGAAGCTATTGTTAATGTAAGTCCTGGTTTATTCCTGTTAATCTAGCAGATCATATTCAGTGCGAATTGAATTCTAGTGCAAATCATTCTTGGAAACATTTAACATTTCATTGTACCTACATCCAAAATGTAATCAAATACAAGATCACATTAAGGATTACTCTATTATTTACTGGAAATAAGTCCATACTAAGTAAGATTCTACGTAACACAACGATGCATATGTTTTGAAATGTGTAATTATTTCTTTGACTGAAAGGTGTAGGTAACACAATATTTATCATTCCATCATCTTGTTTTCTCAACACAGTTCTCAACAAATTATTGTAATTTGGCTATAATATTTGATTATTCAGTTGCTTTTGATTATATGATGAAAAACAATTGTAGTGATAGCACACCATGCAAGGTGGCACCCTCATCCTCCTCAGTGACTGCTTAGCCATGGAATGCTGCGCTGAATTATTAGAGAGGACCAGCAGGTAGGGCACGGCTGGCACTCACTCCATGCATGTTTGTGCTATCAGCACCATCTAGTTGTCTAAGCTACAGAATGTTACAACTGTTCAGTTCAGGTCAAAGTGCTGGGCCACTACAAGTGTTGCTGCACACAACCTCCATGAGGTTGGCCAGTTTCTCAAACGTGGAGTTTTCAAGGCAGTGAACATGATCCTACCCTGCCTGGGAGAATTCTGCTTTTTGAAAGGAACACATCTTATTTTGAGGAGCCACCGGAAGACATGCTGTTTTAGACCTAGTGCTAGTAATGTCAAAGGGCTAATTAATAACCCTACCGTAACGAGAACTTTTAGAAATGAGTGAATTTTACACTATGTTTGAAAGTGAGGTAGTTAAGTCTGAAGCCAGAATGTTAAATTTGAATAAGGGAAATTGTGAAGCCGTGAGACACAAATTAGCTGAGTTGATTTATACATCAAAGGTGTGACTGTACCTAAGCAATGGACAACTTTAAATGAGTATTACATGAATTATGGTCACTATACATTCCTTCAAGCTACAAAATCTCAAGAGGTCAGTCAACCTTGGCTAACAAAGGAGGTTTAGAACTGTATAGGTTTAAAAAAAGGCCTACAAGGTTCCCAGAAATAGCAAAAAATCTGATGATTATCAGGTTTTAAGCATATAGCAAAGAAAACAAAGAGGCTAGCAAGCAAAGGAAGAGTAGAATCAGAATGCAATTTCACACAAAACATAAAAATGAACTGTAAAAGCTTCTATAGATATGAAGAAAGTAAATGTTTGGCTGAAATGAATGTGTGGTCATTACAGACAGAGTGAGAAAAACTTGTAGTGGGCAATAAAGAAGCAACAGGGAAACTAAATTATTACTTTGTGTTTGTTTTCACTGAGAAAGGTACAAGAATCTTCCAGAAGTAGAGATCCTAGTGACTAGGGAGAATGAGGATTTGAAGGAAATTAGTATTAATTTGAGGGGGGATTGAGGGGGGATCTTATAGAAACATATAAAATTATGAAGGGAATAGATAAGATAGATGTAGAGAGGATGTTTCCACTGGCAGGTGAAGCTAGGACAAGAGGGCATAGCCTCAAGATTAGAGGGAGCAGATTTAGGACTGAACTGAGAAGGAATTTCTTTACCCAGAGGGTTGTTAATCTATGGAATTCCTTGCCCAGTGAAGTAGTTGATGCTACTTCAGTAAATGTTTTTAAAAAAAAGTAGATTTTTTTGAACAATAAAGGAATTAAGGGATACAGTGAGAACGCAGGTAAGTGGATCTGAGTCCACGAAAGGATCAGCCATGATCTTATTGAATGGCGGAGCAGGCTCGAAGGGCCAGACGGCCTACTCTTGCTCCTAGTTCTTATGTTCTTATGTTCTAATGAGAAGTTTGCACTGGAGAAAATAATGGGGTTGCAGGATGATATATCCCCAGGACCTGATATTCTTCATCCCAGAGTTGTAAATGAGGTTGTATAGATGTTTCATGAACTGGTAATGTTCCAAAATTCTATCAGTTCTAGAATGATTCCTGCCAATTGGAAGGTAACAAATGTCATCCCACTTTTCAGTTGAATTACATTAGCTTCATTGTCACATACTCAAATGAGTACCGTGGAAAGTTTTGTAAGTTGCCATTTACAGTACCACTTAGGTACAAGGTACCTAGGTACAATCCTTAGTTACAGAATAGAGAAATGAAGCAAAAAAAAGTAACGTTACAGCTATACACAGTATAATCATTGGCCAGAAAAATGAGAAGCTGAGTTTAAAAAACAAACCTCAGTCTCCCTTCAAAGGCTATCTGCAACAAACCAGCGCGGGATACCTCCAGTGGCCTGACCACTGACTGCCGCCATGCTCCACACTGGGCCTCTGGTTGCTAGTGAACACGTTCCAGCCACCAGAGTCTCTGCCGACCTCTGACCCTGCTTCAGAGGCCAGGGCCGGGTGGCTGAGTGGCCGAGGCTGAGAGAAGGGAGGGCAGAGGGAGACGAAAAGAGAAGATAAAGAACAAGAGGAGCAGAGGAGCCATCTTGCCAGAACATTGACAGGAACCTAAAGAGAAAACAAGAAACTACATACCTGTTTCACCTTGTATCTGAAGTAGAGAAAATGCTAGGGTCTAATATTAAGGTTGTAATAAATAACACTTGGATATGATGATCAAACTGGGCATAGTCAACGTGGATTTGTGGATGAGAAGTCACGGTTGATGAGCTTGTTGGAGTTTTATGGAGATGTTACACATGAAATTGATAAAGGAGATCAAATGGATATGGTATTTATTTTGTTTTTATCAACCTGTTTGGCCATGTTATGACACATCTGAGATGTGGGGTTTGAACGTAGGCCTGGCTCAGGAATGCTATCATGCGTCTAAGCAATACCCAATGGACGTAAAATAATGAGGCTTTCAAAAGATTTTTGATAAAGTCACCACAAGAGGCTGGTTAGAAAAATTACAGCATTGGAAATCGAGGTAATATACACCAGTAAATTATACATACAGTGTATAAAATATTAAAACTTTGTATTTGATGTCTACTCTTAGATATCAACTACAAATAAGAGTCAATACTTAGCTTCTAGAACGTGAGATATTAAAATTGCCTTTCAATATTGGACAAATGATATTATCAGTTAATTATGCTGTATAATTTCAATGCCTAATTTATTTCCTGCTATTCAAAGCAGGATTAGTTTTGTTGGTCATTGTAATGGTTTAAGTAGACATCAGATTCACTTGAGAAGTGCAGAAAGGAGTTTTAATGCAAATGAGCCCTGATTGACTGAATTTTGGAACCCAAAATGTAGGCTAGACTCACCTAGAAGAAACAGATGTTAGCATTTTCAGTCATTAACAATAAAATTGCATAATGTGGCAAGCATGACATTCTGATTTCTAAAATTGGAACGTATCCACAGAATTACCAATCAAATTTCAACAGAACCCATCTTCAAATAAAAGGATGTTCTCTCCCACTGTCACCACCTAACAAGTTACTCAACATGGCATCAAAAAGAGCTCAGAATAAAAGAGGTGGTCAGCTCTAATTCAGATATCACAGATGTAGAACAAGAATCTAGCCTTTACTAAATGCCTGCTAATTTGCCCATGAAAGCTATTCACAGTCTCTTGACAAAAAAACCCAATTAACCTTCAATTAAAGCCAACTTTCATTAAAGTACGAAGTGCCTGCAAAATTGATTTTATAATTCAAGAACTAGGCTCGGATAGAGAGAAACCAGAATAAAATTCACAAGACAAAGCAACACTAACATCCAGTATGGATTGGGTTTACATTTTATTTAAAATTTGGCCAAGGTTTCAGTTGAGGGAGAAATAATTGAAAATCCATCTCTTTAATCAAAGATTGTTTTGAGGGGCATTCTGATGCAGTCCAGCCATTTTTCTTTTCTGAGTCTGAGAACAGTGGCTTCTATTATGAGCCTAGTATCATTCTAGAAACTCTAATTTACTTCCCACAGAGATAAGAAAAATGCAAATACCTTTTGAGTCTTCTGCCCATCAAAGGTGACTTGTTCATTGTGTTGGAATGTCATGCTGCAACATCAATTCTGCAGTCAGCTCTTCGCTGTTTTACCTCTGCACCTATGCAAATAAGGTCTGTCTACACCGTTTATTATCATACCTCCAGCAGCATGATATGAGATTAGGGCAATGTCAGTTTCAGCTATAAATGGGTGTCCTGATCATCACTGTTGGAGATATTTAGAATCTATGTACTTTTTCTCTTCCAGCTTCTAAAACTGTTCTTCTCCAAACACATGTTTTCAAAGGATAGCTTTGCTACGGTTCATTGTTGGCTGAACAGGAAGCTGTGGTCCATTAAAATTCTCTGGTTTGCAAACCCATTATATATTAATTCCCTTGTTTCTATTATATTCCTATTTGGCCCTCAGCTGAGCAGCTGATTGTCTCTTTCACCAAACCACCTCCTGCTATCTACAGAAAATAGTCCATTCCTATTCCTGCATCAGCCCAACCCCACATCCACGATGTTGTTACTTCTGGTCTCGATGAATCAAATGCTGCCTTGGCCAGTCTTCCATCTTTCATCCTCAGTAATTTTAAGCCTGTCCAAAAACTGCTATCCGCATAAGAACTTGTAAAAGGTTCTGTTCACCCATCATTTCTGTCCTTGCTGACTTCCAGCGGTTCCTCATCCAGAAATACCATCAATTAAAGATTCTCAATCTTTTGTTTAAATTCATTTGTGGTTTCATCCCTGTCTTTCTCCATAACCTCCTCAAGTTCTATTATGCTGTTGGATGTCTGCGTTCCTCCATCTCTGATCTTCTGTACGTCCCCCATTTGTTTTGCCTCTTCATTGTTGGCTGTGTCTTCAGCTGTCAAGCCCATAAGCCGTGGGATTTTTTTATACCAGACACTCCACTTCCTTTTTTTAAAAAATCCTTAAATCCTTCTGGCTAAGCTTTTGCTGTAGTTTCTATAGCTCCTTGTTTGATTCTCTGCAGCTTTTTTTTATTTCTGGTAGCATGCCTGAGAA